TCTGTTTGTCCTTTGTTGGGTCAGATGGGGCGGGCATCCTTAATTCATCTTTACCACTTCTTAAACCATGACTTACAACTCTGTTTAAAATGAATTTTTGAACAGAGTCCTCCAGTGAAATGCTACAGAGGAAAGCCATTATTCGAATGCATGAGGCCATTCCAGACCACTTGCCTGGAAGAATTCCATAATATGGAATGGGAGAAGGGACAGAGGAGTTTGGCTACTTTCTTCCGCCTTTAAGTTCACTGCCGAGTCTAAACTAATCTAAACTGACTTATAATGTCACTAGCATTGTACTTCAACACACCACCACCCCCAAGGATCTGTTCTCGCCTTTGAACTCCAATTACCTTTTGTTTTCACTGTCAGAACTCGTTCCCCCAGGAGTCATCATGGCTCACCTGTGGCAACTGGAAAGCGCTTCTCAACCTGGGTTCCAGAGGAGAGCTATGACCGGACACCCGGCCTAAGGCCTCTGTTGTAACGCATTAACTCATATTCCCTGTGCTTCTCGAATGACAGGCGCTTGGACTTACCTCGGGTCAATGGAAGAGCTAGTCACTCAAAGAAGGCTCTGGTGAGAACCCCCAAGAAAGGCAGATCCAATGGCAGAAGCTGTTTCCAGCAATTCTTCGATCACGCTCTTGAGCCTGCCCACGTCAAAGGATCGGGGATGCACACAAGTGATCACACTCCTGCAAGCAAGGGCATCCTCAGAGGGGAAACATTTGCTTTGCTTTAAAACGGTGGGGAGAAAGGCGCCGGTGAGGAAAGCTGCTTGGCAACCAAGGAGCCCCCAGAAGCGTGCACCTAGCTCTGCCGATGGCCTCTTATCATCCTCCCACACGTGTGAGACTCTGCAGATGCTTATCGGTTTAACAAGGTACCGCTGACCCATCCAGCGAACCAGACGCTTTTCATTTTAACCGAAGACAGCCGAAGAAATTAAATCTATTTCTGTCAGCATGACTGCCTTTTCAGGGCCCACTTTCTGGACACAGCTCCGCAAGACACACACACACACACACAC